TTTATGTTTTGTTATTTTTGTCATCTTCTATGTATTTCTGTCTCTTTTTTGAGTTTTGTTTGCCCACGTAGAGCCCAAAGAAGAAGTACTATAAGAAAAATAAGTAGAAGAAGGTAAAGACTCAAGCTGAGTTTTCTTTGAGCCGAAACGGTCCGGACCACAGACTCAAATTTCCCTGCCCAGTCACCGTGGTGCTAGACCCATGGAACCGATCTTCAAATGGAACAAATGTAACATTAATCCCCAGAGGACAAATGATATATGGCCTGGGTGTACGATTGCACTGTAGCTAGAAGCCATGTCATGTTGAAAACCGAAAGTAAGTCGTCATCTGCTGTTGTAGATGGATAAAAAAGGTTGAGAAATGCTGCCCATAAACTGCTGGAGATCTAAGAAAACGGATTTTGAATGGATTACGAGCAATATGGTATAAATATGAGTTGGATAGAGGGACAGAAATATCTGGGAAATACGAGTATTTGCGGTCTACTATGTACATTTTGATTTATTCATATCTGAATTGATTTGGGATTATCCAGATTATGGAATGGTATAATCTTTTCAGAATATACATAAATATTAATACAGAAGGTGTTCTCGTTACATCAAGTATTTCCCTTCATAATCGCCACTAATTGAATCAATCAGTAATGCAAATCATTCCACATAATCCGTTTAAATACGAATGCCCTCTGGTAATGTCCATTTTGTAAACAACGATAAAATAAAGTTGCTTTCTTCATCGAAATGTGTGTTCTCCAGCAATTTCCAGCTGTTGCAATATCTACTTTTATCGGAACTACTAAAGGTTTGTTCTGTATAATTAGTTCCAATTGTTAAATCTTAATTTGTTCAATTCATTCAATTTATGTACCACAAAACACACATTTCCCCAAAAGTTTATTAGCACAATTCTGTTTAACGATCATATGGAAGTTTTAAGATGTTCTATGATGTGATGAGGGTAAATTCTTCAGAAACGAATCAGTTAACAACGTTCTGTACTACTCGTAAAAGTTTGTTCCCTTTTGGGTAGCCAATACTTAAGTTAATGAACAAATTCCTTGCGGAAATATTCCTTAAACATTCGTTAAATGGTCACTCAACTAAGCCGAAATTGCTTACAGGCCGAACCCAACTAAATGTGGAGACCACCATTAAGGATCTTATCTGCAGGCCCTTAGCAAAAACATGAAACATTCCCAAGTGCTCTTATCGCGCTTCTCTGCACTGGCGCTGGCTCCCCCAACTTTTGTCCATTCCACTGTGCGGCAGCGGCAACTGAAAAGTTGCCCCTTTTCGAGGGGCAGAAGCAGCAGGCAGCAGGGCAGGCAGCAAACTTCCAGCGAAGGCAAATGCCTAATAGACATTAGTCCAAAAACCTGCTGACTCCTGACTGGTGTACGAGTACGAGTATACGAGTATATGGCTTGGTAGTGCCAGCTCTGGCGAAGGCTCTGCGATGGCTCCAACCCAAATGGAGCTGCTTCCATCCTTGGCTTGGCTCTAGAACAAACTTCAACATTGTTGTTACACTCTTAGGGAGAGTCTTGTCATTTTCAAACGAAGTTTGCCCAGCAGAGAAGGAGGGAGAATTCAGACACAACCCCATCTTCTCATTGCTGATGCCTGAAAACCTATTAAGTCCATGGTAACGATCGTTTGTTTAAGGGTATTAGATACTTCGTTCCAACCTAGTTGCTGACGCCACTGTTGCTGTTTGTTTCGTTTCTGGTGTTGCATTACAAGTAGAAATTTTCAGTTTTGCAGCAATTTTGTTTAATTTCTTTTTGGGTGCCGCACGCCTCGAACATAACGAGCGTGGTTAATTGTAACCATATATACATACATACGGACCATGTCGATATCCAGGGAGACGACGACGACTCGCCCGGAGGGAGGGAGAGGCAGAGAGAGTGTGTCTGCCCCTTGGGTGTGCATGTCGCGACCCTCCTCCTGCCTCCTGCCTCTTGCCTCCAGCCACCGCCATTCCCCGTTGCGGCTGCCGGCACTGGAGCAGCCCTGCGTTTTGTTCAGAGTCTGTGGCAAATGTGTCATTAGGCATGTTTCATGACCCTTTGTCATGCACAAATAATTATAATTTAATACACTTGCCAGCAGGTTGTCGAACGGACAGAGGGGGACGTGCCCCTGCACGTAGGGCTCAGAGCGCTGCCACCCCAGAGTTGAGATTTCGGTTTCGTATTCTCATTACCTTTAATACCCATTACTCACATATTTGAACATTGAAGGGGGAAAGTTTTGGGTAGTCGTGGAGAAAAAAGTACATGGATATTTCCGGCCTATAAATCAGACTTATTCTAGACTTGAATTCAACGTACTCGAACTTCAGATATCCACGAATGCAAGGTATCTTTATGTTTAGGGGATGGCTATCCCAATAGTCTCAGTAGTCGCATTCTATACATTAATTAAATATACTGATTTTACAGATTTATGTTATAGTTCTTCTATCTTCCCCTCTTCCTCTTCTACCGCCTACTGAGTAACCCCTTCGTCGACTCCACATCGATCTTTCATCATAATCCGGCCATCAAAGAGATTTTCCCTTGACTGTTTCGGGAATGCTTAGTTTTTTCCTGGATTTTTCCACCGTCGCATCGTGGCATTCTGTCGCTGTCGCTGTCGCTGTGTGTTTTACTTTACTTTGTGCCACATAATTGCCAACAATTTGCTGAAGTTGCCAGCACGAGTGCGCCGCCCGGCAATTACCAAAGGCGCAGGATGTGTTTTAGTGCGCGCACGGCCCCCGTCATCATCCTGCCCATTCCATTTCGTTCCGTTCCATTCGACTTCTACCCATCATCATGGTGCATAGTCCTTGGTATGAGTGCGAGTACCAGTACTATCCCTTGTCTTGGCCCCCAACTAATTTGCGCAGCTCGCGGCAAAATATGAAAAGTTTGTCTTGGCTAATTTGCTTTATGGCATTTTAATTGTATTTGCCCAGTGTCTGTCCCTGTCCCGTGGAGAACGCCATGGAAAACTGCTGACTGCCGACTACCGACTAGCGACTCCTGCTGACTCCTCAGGAGTGTGCTGGGCTGTGCTGTCTGTTGAAAATTTAATGAGCTTATGAATTTCAAATCATTTTCCGACCCACTCAGTGCGCACTGCGCACCTGATAGAAGGGGATACTGGCTGGCTGTCCCCCGTCCGCCGTTCCACTCTTTGGCAGATGGCTCCGCGCTTTCGCTGCTGATAACCGCACATTAGCCAATTATTGATAATTTATGAAAGTAATTGAGGTACACGAAACATTTCCTATGAATGGTTCTACTCGCACTTACAGGCGTGTGTGTGCAGACATGTGTGCAACGTCTTTGTTGAAAATACAAATGAGCACAGCAGGGCCCCAAAGAGTGCAAATATAATTCTTATAAATAGACAACAACAGAGGCCCTTGTCGACAGTTGGCAGTCGTCATCATCATCATCATCATCGTCAAGCAACTAAGCAAACATAAATATATAAGAATAGCTATGCGAAGGCTATAGAGAAGTATAACGACGGGAAAATACCCGCCATTCAACAATTTCGGGGCGAAAGCTATGCCTCTGAATTGGAAATGGGAGATTACTCCAATCAGGGTAGCACCTAAGACTACTTTTGGCTGGAAGACTGATAGATTTGTTATGAAACTTGCCCAATGCCAGAGGAAATGGTTCCATTAAATATATCATAAAATTCGAGCATTGAAACTTTAAAAATTAGACTTCTATAACACTTTAATGAAGGAAAATATACTATAATAACTATGTCAAGGATACTACTAAATTATTTACCACTAATCACCAGTATTCCATGCAATAATATCCAATTAGAGTGTTTTTATATGGATCATTTAATCGAATGGATTTCAGAGGGCGTATCACAAAGAATCTGCACAAAAAACTTAGTTCCTCCGGCTCTTCAGGTAATCTCTAAGCACTGGGGATTAAAAGAAACCCAGAGACCCTCCACACTATAGACTTTGTCGCCATTGACTTTGCTTTGGCCTGCCACGACCTCCCCCTCTGCCATATGGAGAGTGTAGAAAACAGAGGGCCCTGCCATATAGAGAATATACATACTATGTACAGAAACGGAGGGAGCGATGGAACATGTCAATATTAGCAACGACAGCAACGGCATTGTCATTAATGAAACCAAATAAAAACCTTAAATGCTAGCTGGCAAAGCAGAAAAGCACACACTCGAAACACACACAAATTTGAACAGAAACAGAATTTTGTATTTGTTAACATACATACATAACCACACACTCGCAGATACTATTTGTTGTGTGTGTGTCTGTATGGGTGTGCGCCTGCATTTGGCTGGAAAAGTTGTTTCACAAATAAATAAACGCTTCGAAATGGAAACATTCGCTCCATTGCCCATAAATATTTGTTACCGCTTATGTTGATTCAAATGGTTTGGATTGCTGACTGATAGATGGAAAAGACAGAAAAGGGGCTGGCTGGGGTATGTGGGTAATTCAGGGGAGTTCAGTTCGTTATTGGAGTGGAAATATGGAACAAAAACTAGCCTGGAACTAGGATAAAACAATCGTATGAACAGCAACACGAATACTCAAGAGAAATGGGTTTCTACCATAGTATATAAAATCATTACGATCCCTATATGAATGTAATACGTCATTAATCATATAGTATATTTACTAATAATACATTTCTGACCATTAAATGGTTTTTGAGTATATGTTTATACTACATATATGTCGTAGGTATTTCGTGAGTATAATAATTACTCGTTTGGATTAAACTTGTTTTGCCTTGGCTTTTGTGGAATCCAAAAATAAACCATAAAATGATGCACAATTCCTTGAATTCTAATTTTATTTTAAGGTGAATCTGCATACATTAATCTTTTATAGGGTACATCACATTTTTAGATACAAACTTGAAACAATTAAAATTAAAATTAGTTAAAAATGAAAACCAAATATTAATTCATTTGAATATTTTATAGAACACATTACATTACATTCTCTGCTGAAGTTTAGCCCGCTGAAGATTTTAAAGCATTCACACCGATTCTCTTTATGGAGGCCGTACCATTCAGAGGTGCGCCTGCCTCGTACGTGTAACGACTGCGATATCCATCAGGACCAGCCTTGTAAAAGAGGATTAGAGTGCCTCCTTCTTTGTAAGATTGTCGAATTTCTCCCTCGATCTGTCGATGGCCTTCCGCATCCTCGACCACCGATTCAGTGCGAAATCCTGTTCCATCTGGATGGGTGATCCTCAGTTGGTATTCCCTGCCGCAGGCTGATTCCAGCTCACAGCAACTAATCCACAGGACAAGAATCCACTAGGGGGACTTTAGTTATCTACAAATTCTCCATCAAATCCCCAGAGACTCACCGCTCTGATGGTTCTAGGAGACATGATGTGGATCTAACTGGCAGCAGATTGCAACTACCACTACCCCGAATGATATTCAAAACTCTGTTTGTGCCAGCATCATTCTACACTCAATCGAAGGGGAAACGGGTTTTATTGCAAAATGAAGATTAACTAAGATCAAAAGTGGCTAAACCACATTGCTACATTGAAGCAAGCAATCAAGACCGGATGCAGTGGGTCGAAGCTTTAAATACCCTTGGAAATTATAGGGTTTCCTACTTACAATCCCAACTATTGATCATGCTATGATCATACACAATTGCAAGGCACTTTTGGCACTTCGATTGCATCAACAGAAGATTATGTGAGGAAAGAAAGATCTGTGAGTGTTCAGTTCTGGGCAAAATGATATCGATAGTATCCCTAGCAGGTGAACTTATAAATAGCCATGATCCATTCAATTCCTCAACGGGAGAGGAGAGATATGTATATAGAACCTGTTCCTAAAAGGCACTTTTAATATTTAATAACACTCAATAAAGTGTTCTTCCAAAGAAAGTAAGCTTTCTTGTTCCGTAATTTCAAAGAGTGTTGTGTTTGATTGAAATGAATTCTCTGAAACGGCTCGTTTGATTTCCCAACTTTGGTCGGGGCTGTCGCTGTCGCCGTCCGTTTGCACTGCCTCTGAAGTGTCTTTATATCTTATCGAACTCGAACAGAGTCAAGAGGCAGGGGTACGAGGCAGGGGCACTCCCTCAGCCCCAGTCACCTGTCGGCTGTCGACTGTCTGTTTTTTCCTATCACTTACCACCTCGATGCCCAATTTTTCCCGAACACCAAATGCATCTAATAAATAGGCGCACAATTAACAAGTTTCTAGTGATTTATGCCGACCGTCGCCGGTTCGGTTCGGTTCGGTTGCGTTGGGTTGGGTTGGGTCTGGGTCGTTTGATTTTCGTGCCTAGGGCTGGGCACGGCCTGGCCCTGCTAGATTTTATGAGCACCCCAACCGTGCCACGAAACAATGCAAGAGATAATTTTTTACGAGGCACTCGCTCTATGCGCCATGTGTTCGGGACCTGGGGAACAGGCACCAGGGACCAGGGAATAGGGCAGGTAGTGCCGGACCACGGACCACGGACCACGGACCTCGACTTCGGTCTCTTTTAAGGGCCGCGTGTGCAATTAAACGATTTCGGGAAGGGCGTTAGGCATGCGCTCAGCCTTGACAGCGGCGCAGAGAGCCCCGGGAATCGAATCGAATCTCATTAAAGCAGTAAAGTCAATAGAGGCACGGCACCCTCTAAGCCAGAAGGAAAAGGAAGAACGTAGAAGGAAGAAAGGGGTTGTGTGCGAGTGCGAGTGTGGGTCTTCTTGGGAAATTCAATTTGTGATTTTGTGGCAATGAAGTTGCTTTCTTTGTCTCTCGCTTGCTCGGTTCTCTCGTCCTCCTGGCTATTGATTTTTGATTTTGCTCGGTGGAAAAGTTTCCTCCTCATGCCATCTGAGACAGTTGGCCCGGAAACTTTTCTAATTGCTCCAACGCAGAGCAGAGCAGTAGCGGCAAGTTTTCCTTCATAATTTTCCAAGCAGCCGGCGATTGAACAAAGCAATATTTGCACAAGTAATTTTCGGTTCAAAAAACTTTCACGTCCCATCTCTACGACAGATCCACAGCCAGCGTCAGAGCCAGCGCCAGAGCCAGAGCCAGAGCCGGGGCAGGGCTGAGATGGCAAAAAATAAACGAGTATTTTGCAGGCAGCCAGAACAAAATGATTTCCCAGCCACGTACTTCAGCACGTTTCCAACTTTAATCTCTCGGGCGGTTCCAAGTTCCGTTCCATGCCGTTCTGCCGCTTCTCCGGCCCTGGCCCCACACTAATTTCTGTTTAAAAGCGGAATTTATGTGAGCTCAGCAGTTTTGCTCCTTCCTAATACCAAATCAAATAGAACTTTTCCACCGACCCACAGAAAAAGGGTGGGGCCAGCCAGGCGCAGCCAGCCGAAAAAAAAGAAATATACATAGTATGTACCAGTATTCGCGGAAAGGAGACGGAGATACGCAGAAATAGAATGAAAATGAAAATCGTTTTGTTTGGTCCCGGGCTCATCTTGATTTATGGTCAGAGGAAGTTCGCACATTGGAGATGCCATTATTCTGCGTATTTATACAAATGTTATCCCCTCTCCTCTCCACCCAACCCTATAACGCATGCATTTATCCTCATATGTGGAATACCTCCCCATAAATCAATAAATGAAATTTACACGCATATTTTGTGTTACGTGCTGGTGGTATTAGATTCTCGCTGGGTTTGAGGGAAGTTGGGAAAATGGGAAACTGGGAACTTCAATCTGTCAAGTCATCCATTTCATTCATTTCTCTTCATTAAACGTAATCTTAGGGCCATCTACAGTGCGCTTCATCTCATTCTCCTTTGAGGACATTTGATCAACTCTGTGGAATCCTTAGTAGTTCCATATCAAAGGAATAATTTATGCGGTTGCTTCTTGGAATGAATACAACGCGCTTGAGCTGATGATGGGGGCCCTTGAAGGGTAAGACGAGCGGACAGAAGGCAGAAGGCAGAAGACCTCGTCTTGGTCAAAGGGAAACCCTAGAGCTATCAGAGCAACAACATCTACATCATTGGACCATTTGACACCCAAAGAATTTTTAATTAAGGCCGCCGCGAAACGAGTGAAACTGCTCTTATTCGGATGCTGTTTGAGCTCCTGCAGCGTCCACGTCCGCCTCGGCCTCGGCTTCGGTGTCGGCGTCGGTGTCGGCGTCAGCAAATGGCAATGAAACGATAACAATAAAAATGCAGCTATGGCCATATAGAGAGATATGCGAGAAACGCGAGCGAGAGAGATATATGGGCCTATACCGCAGCGGCAGCAACAGCAACAGCAAATGCAACAGCGGTGATGTGCAGCCCCAGAATGCACATAAAAATTGTCCGCATTATTGTTGCAACAGATGAAGGAAGCAATAAAAAGAAGTAGACGCCACAGCTTCGGATACCCTATTAGATCTATGTGTTGTACGTATGGCATATAAATTTGGGAAATGGTGGTATGATTTGCAGCAAGTTTGGCAGAGTTATGCAAGAGCATAATATATTGCTGGATTTGGATCTGCGTTTCAAACATGTCATCAAAATCTTGATACCTTCTAAAAGGTACGCGAATAGAGAAGGTAGAGTACTAGAGGAGATACAGAAGCTTCTGCGCAAGGTGTACTTGTGCGAGGTGTGGAGTTCCTTCCGTCCATCGAGTCACATGTTTACATATTTATATATTTCGCTCGCATCGTGGGAGCGCCTTTTGGGACAGCGTCACCTCCAATAAATACACCTTGCATAAGCGCATCATCGGCAGAGAGAGCAGAATCAAAAGCAACAGAATCGAGGGTAAAGCAAAAGCGGCAGAGGCGCAGCGCTAGCAGCAGAGCACCACCACTAGAAGCAGCGGAGAAGCAGCAGAAATGGAAAGGGAGAAGCACATCAGCGAGGGAAGGCATATAAACAACAATGTCATCAGCATAATTGTATGTCAAGTGAGCGGCAGAGAGAGAGAAACGTTGAAGAAGGGGTGGGGGGGGCCCGTACAATGGAGTGAGTGAGAACTATAAAAAGCGAAAAGCAACAAAGAAAGGGGAAGGAGGGCAAAAAGCGGTGCCAGGAACCACTCGAGACCATGACGAGACAATGCAATCAAAGGAATCTCAGGGAGGGGGAAGGAGGTAGCAGAGGCAGTTGTAGAAAGGGACAGGGAAATGCAGCAGAGTTAGTCGATGGGAAGGGGTAACGTCAGCGGGGACAGGCCGATAGACAGTCGGTCGGAGGGGCAATGAATGGATGACGAGTCGCCGCCATGCATACGCAATATTAAGCCATCGGAAAGGAGGAGCAGGCGATCAGAGGCGGCGGGCAGGAGTCAGAGAGGAAGAGAAGGTGCATTTCTTCGGTGGGCTTTGCACACTACAGAATAGCCCTTAAGTTTTCTAAGACGGTTGGTAAACCAATTAAATTCTTTTGTATTGTGTTTCAACTGGGAAAATATTCATGTTCAATGTTATTTATTTCGCATGGGGAAAGGGTATACAATATTCCTTCCATAGCGGAGACCCCCTTACAAATGCAGCTCGGATTGGATCATATGTGCACTTTACTGCTGTGTGTGTGTGTGTGTGTGCCATTAGACGATGCGGGTCGCCTCGATGACAAAAACACGGATTCTGCTGCACCCAACATTTAGCATTTTGCCATTCACGTCAGCGGCATCATAATAATCATCTCCATCTCCAGCATCCAGCAGCGCTATACAGAGTTCTATGATTCCGACCCGACGTTTGCAACCCCAAGAGGAATGACTCGAATTGCCATGGGATTGCCACATCTGAAAGGGTATCAAAAGCTTCGTCATTTCGTTCAGGGCTGGTCTTGTTGTCGACGGTTTGTGTGTCATTGAAATGAAACGCCGGGCGACGCCTCTTGAGCGGAATTATTATTACCACTTATGCAGCAGTCGCCAGCAGAAGCAGAAGCTCTGACACAGGGAGCGACAGAAGGGGGGCAACCATTGGCATTGTTTTCCCACTGTGCGAGGCTTGGTTTTGGTTTTATTTTCCTTTTCTCTCCTCGTTTTTGTGTTGCATGCAGTTTTGTGTGTGTGTGTGTGTGTGTGTGTGCTGGCGGCTGCACTCATTTCCACATGAATGCACCGGCAGCAGCAGGGAGGACCGGGTCCATATGTGGCATACCACACGAAACCGTAGACACAGCTCCGACCCATACTGGAGACGCCGACATAAGCCGCAAGATGCTAAAAAAAAAACTGGCCACTCCGTCAGCAGCTCTAAAGCAGTCACACCCAGAACCACTCTTTTCTTTTGTACAATTTTTGTTGAGGAGAATTTCAGGTTTTCAGCTTTGAAAGTCCTTAAGCTTTCTTTTGAAAACCATGCATCTCATTATCATATTAAAAATTGTCCCTCTTGATATGCCTTGAAAATGCTTTGCAGAATCAGAATAAATATAAAATTCGAACGAATGTAATGGCTTGATGTAAGG